CCCCCCCCCCCCCCCCCCCCCAAAAAAAAAATCAGTAAAATAAAAAACCGAAATAAACCCCGTTCCACATGTGATCCCAAGTTTTACGCTGTATTAAGCCTCACCTTGGCAAAGCTTGACAAACTCAACGGGACTAAGGCCACACTGAACGCTTCTAGAACATATTTTTTCCTTGGTCGTGCAGAACCACTTGCCAATTTTGCACTGGATTTGATCTTTAGGACACTCACAACTGGTACAGTTCTGACATCTTGCACCGTTGTAATTGGCATCGCATCTTTCACAAAGAAGAAACACTAATTACTTTCGAAATAAATTAAGTTGAGTAACTGAGCACTATCAATTGGCTCACAATGCAACCACATGTGATAAAGATGGCCACGGTTCGGATGGCAACTCCAGCTTTAGATTGAATCAAAGCGACCAATGGGGCCCGAAGCTAACATTACAACCACTGTGCTTCATCTGGCCATACCCTCGGTCATCGAAAAACACAAACAAAACCAAACGAACAAACAAACAAACAAACAAGAAAAGGGATTGTTGGGCGAAAACTGGCGGGAGTGACTGGAAGAAAAACACAGTTTATTTAACTCTATCCGAATTGCTGTCATACCATACTACGTAATGAAGATACTTACACACAATCCGGACGCCCAAAGTTGTCTAGTTGACACTTTCCATTGATACAATAGCTTTCGGTACATGCTGGATACAAAGCAATTGAACGTTATAAGTATTAATTAACTATATAAAACACATTGTAAAATATCCTAAAATTCCGGGTTTAATTCGTAATCTGCAGACCTTGACATCAAAGAGCAGTCCTGTCTATAACACGCAATCTCTTCTTAAAAACAATAAATCAACGCAACATCAGACAAAACTTTTACGAAGAAGTTACTGAGGAAAATGATCTTATTTCCCTAAACTTCTTTTAACGAAATACATCACGAAAATTGTTTCACATAAAAGAGATAAATACCGAAATGTTTAAGGGGAGTAAATAATTAAAATGGAAAAAAAAAGTAAATAAAGAAAAGAAAAAAAACAGAATATAACAAAAGTTAGAAGGATTACAAAATGATAATCTTCAACAATTAAAATCACTTTGAGCGAGCAAACTTACCACAATGTGATTCATCACTTCCATCCGTACAATCAGACTTGCCGTTACATTGCAGAGTCTTGTTTAGGCATTTTCCATCAGCTGGGCAATAAATCTGGAAATGACCACAATTACGGTTGGCTGCAAAAACAAGTAAAGCAGACTTTAGAAATCGTCATAAAAACGTAACTAAATTCTACCAAAGAATTACGCCATCATTCCTTCAATTATTACTAATTATTGACCGAAGTGGAGGTAAACACACAATACTTTCGCAGAAACTGAAGCGAATAACTGTTTTAGTATATACCGTACGGAAACCAAAAATTAGTTCATATCTGTCAATATACAGAAAAAAGTCGGAATTCAAAATCTTGACGTGTGATTTTGTCTCTACGTTTCGGAAGTGAATAGTACTTCCTGATCACTTCCAAACAGGCGAATCAGCGCGCGCGAAAGGCACTATTCACCTGTGTGGTATATGCCAAAATATTTCCTAGTTCAAAAGAAGGTCAAAGTGAGCAAGAGAAAAACAAACAATTTAACAAACCAAAAAACAACCACAGAAATTAAAACTTGACAAAATATTACCACAGTTAGCTTCTGCTCCCTCGTCTGAGTGGTCTTTACAATCTGGGTATTGGTCACAAACGAAGGCCGACTTGATACATTCTCCACTCTTACATCGGAATTCGTCACGCTTACACTGACCTGGTGGCGCTGAAAATAATGGAATAAAAGCGGTGAGACTTTGCCAAACGGTATTTGTAAATAACAGTTGACGGTCTTGTAGTGAGATTTCAGGTTTGCTAGATATTAAGCCAGATTTAAAATGGAAATTGTGGTTCAAGTAACTATGGTCAGAAAGAGTTTCTCTTGGAAGCCCATCTTTTTCCTATCTACATGAATTTGAAAAGGGTATTGCAAATATCGCAAATATTTACGTCAAACAGCCTCACAATTTCTGTCACAGTTCCACTTCAAGCAATTGAAAAGGACTAAAAGTAGCAGAGTACGCGCATGCCCTGCCTATCGTCATGACTATACTGATAAGGTAGCGTTTTAAATGTGCAGGAGAAGTCAACGAAAGCGATTGTATGTAAAGAAATCATTGATATCCTTTTTAAGATTTATTTAAGAAAGTAGTCAAAGACGCTCAGTGGGTCCCATCAACGTAAGAGGCCCTACTTCAAGAAAGGGGCACAAGGTAGAAGTACCCCAAAACGTTTTTTAACGTACTTGTAGAGTATAGTCAGTGAAAAACAAAGAGAATGACAAGTGAGACAGTAGCAGGCTACATGGCTTGTTGTCAATTAATTTGAAGAAATCCTGCATAACCGCGTTTTTAGAATAAATCATGCAAAACATCTTTGGATTAGTGTAGACGGAGCTAAAACGATACTATATAGTCATAACTGAATCACACTCACTATGTGTGCAGGATGAAAAGGTGATGTCATCAATCGCTATGTCACTAGCCGTGGTTGGACCACGCTCTGCCTCAAAACTGACGGTGAAAGCTGTCTTGTTCTTAATCAGTTCCGTGAAGTTGTGCACACCTCTATACCAGCCGTCACCCTGGTTTCCAGCCTTTTTCCAAACCTAAAAGGAGATATCATAGGAAGATAATGTTTAAAATGGTCAGTAATATAACTTGCTTGTTTGTACACCATTATCAACAACAAAAACAACAACAACAACATCGTTAGAAAAGGAGCTGCCCTGTTTAACTTTATTTTCGCCGTAAGGCAAAAAGCAGTTAAAACGGGCAATGATGCAAGTGATGAACCCTCTACACACTAACATTAGTATGTATAATCTCCATACTGTTCTCTAAAGAAAATTGTGAATTACCTCGGTACGTTGTCCATCTTTGGGTTCAACAAACACACGCAACACACCCATGCCAGTGCCGTACATGTGGTAGAAGAAACTCATCCGGCAGTAAGACTCTGATACACTTGTGAAGGTGTAAGAGACCCTGGCTGTGTCTTTGGGCTGCGCTTGAGATGAATCCATGTAAAGATAGTACCCTACACGGAGCAACAAATAGAAACTTAGATGGGCCCCATGACAAATCAATCAAACCTAGGATTCCGTGCCTCGATGCTCTATCACTAAGCCACAGAGACAATACGCTGAGTACAAACAAAATAAGCGAGCTCTTCATTGAAGCCATAGAAGTACACTAAGCTTGCCATAGCTGAATAATAACTCAAATGGGCTAAACAAACACCGTTATATAGGGAGAGTAAACAAAAACTAAATTGCTTGCCAAGCATCCACTTTGTTCATTTTCCACGGGGATTGTAAGAGG